CTTCTTCGTAAATGTTTTGTCAAGACTTCTTCGTAAATGTTTTGTCAAGACTTCTTCGTAATGAGCGTAAATCAGACAAAAATAATGTTTATGTTAGAATGTTAGATCTAACATGTTTTCTAACACGTTTTCTAACATCGTAGAAAACTCATGATTTCATCGTAAATGTTTTGTCAAGACTTCTTCGTATATGCTTTGTCAAGACTTCTTCATCGTACATGTTTTGTCACTTTTCTGTCACTTTTCAGGTAAAAACATTTTTATTATATATATAAAATGAATTTTACAAAACCACCGTTACCCTTCTTTGGAAATAAGAGTAGATGTAAAGATATTCTATTGAGAGAACTTAAGAAACTACCGAATGGTCTAACATTTGTAGACTTGTTCGGTGGAAGTTTCTATATATCTCATTTGTGCCATACAATATTTCCTGACTCAAAGATTATATGCAATGACTTCGACAACTATATGAACCGTCTCAAACATATACCAGACACAAACAAAATATTGAAAGAGTTAAAAGAAAAGATACCTATAGGTAAGATGGAACGTATACCATTAGATAAGAAAAATATTGTGAGAGAGGTTTTGAAAAAGGCAGAGTATATTGACTGGGATAGTATATCTGCTAGACTATTATATAGTGGTGCTATAAGAGTTCATGACATTGAAACACTTATGTCAAAAGTTTTATATCTTAACTATACAAATGTTTTCAAAGAGAACATAGAAAAATATACTGAGGGTATAGAGTTTGTGAGATGTCATTGGACAGAGTTGTATGAAAAATATAAAGACAAGGAAAATATTTTCTTTATAGTGGACCCGCCGTTCTATAACACATGGGATTTTCAATACCAAGTAGACTGGACTTTGAGAGACTCTTTAGAAACTTTAGACGTTTTACATAACTGTCCATGCTTTTACTTTACATCCGATAAAAGTGGTTTGGAAAGTGTCATGAGATGGTTAGAGGACATACATGACTATGAGTTTAGATACGATAAGATAGAATATGAGAGAGGTCCTATAAACTGGAGAAAGTGTCATAACAAAGAAATTTTACTAGTAAGTAAATGTGGTTTGAAATAGGACTACTTGTTTTAGGTTTTTTCCATTGTGTCATTTACTTATTTGACGTGGCAGAAAGATATAGAGAATATGAAGATGAACCAATGCCTGCAAATGTTCAGTATATGTACTCGTAAGAGATATTTTTATCTAATATTAAATGGACGCACAGAACTTAGCGAATGCACAGCAACCTGGACAACCTAACCCAGAGAATATTCCAAATGAAGTTAGAATACAAACTGCAATGGCAAACTATGGTCAAGTGCCAACAGATGTACAAATGCAAACTGCCATGTCAAATGACGCTGCGTTAGGTTTGCCACATGGTATGCAAATATGAGATGGAAAGAGTTTTATACAAACCCTGAAGTGGGATATAACAACTTTATGCAGATGACGCGAACACAGGAGTTGACCCAGAATAATGTTTTCTACCAGAGGAGAAATAGAATGTATGAGCTCCAGTTAAAGAATGCAATGGAACTCAACAGGAAACGTAAGAGACTAGGTGGACATTAGATTTTTACATGATAGTATAAATGGGTTTCTTTGGAAGAATAGGAAACTTCTTTCGAAATGTTGGAAGAGGTATATGGAATGGAATAAAATCTGTCGGAAGAGGAATTTGGAACGGAGTCAAAAATATTGGTAAAAGAGTAGGTCAGTTCGTTGGTATTATACCTAAAGACCCTGAACCAGAAGAGCAAGCTCCTGTTATACAACAGCCTGAACCTGCACCACAGTCTAGTTGGCAACCAAATCCAACACCTCAACCGTATTAAAAAATCATATTTTTACCGTTCGATAGTAGTTGTATATGAAACTAAGTTCTAAGTAAAACGCGTGGTATAATGGAATTATTCTCTTTCTTCCATCTGTAGTAAACCATACTTGAAAGTCTGAAATACTTCCACTTGGTGGTTCGTATAGCTTTGTAGGTTTTTCGTAAAAGTCATTTGCCAAGCATAAAAAAGAGTTTTGTGCACCAGAAAATGAAGCTGAACAATAATAGCAGCTGGTCGAAAACATCTTTAAATAAATATGGTTCATCTCTTGCATATCGACTGTAAATATTTGCTAAAGGAAGTTCGACTTTCTGATTTAACATTCTTTGCAAATAATACCATGACATTGCAGTGAATTCTGTATATATTTGTTCGTCTTTCTTTGGATTGTCTTCGTAGATTTGAAAATGACACTTGTGAATTTGTTTTTTCATATACAATTCTCACATAAAGGTGCTCTCGTATTTGCATATTCATCAGCATATTTGCATAACATGAATTTATTTATCTTCTATATTTTTTAACGCAGTCTGTAAAGAAGATGAAAGGTCAACTTGTATTAGCTCAATTTCTTCCCACATTTTTCGTTTCCCTTCAGATATATAATCTATATGAAACCTTACAATAAATGGAAAACTTTTATTTCTTCTACAGACACAAACTTCATTCTACGAAAGCCAATAGCTTTTGTGACAGATGGGTCTTTAGCCATCTTAATGGTAGTCAAAACGATAGCCTTCATGCTTTACGGTCTCTGTCTCAAACTTTTGGACGACATTAGTAAAAAGTTCATCTAATGGTTTAGTTGTAGCAACTCTTGAATTTTCTTTTTCTATTGGAAGCATATTTTATCTAGAATAAAAATGTCAAATGAAACAGCGTCTATGAGAGAAATACAACACAACCGACAACTCATTATACAAGCTCTAAATAAGAACACAACAAACTTTTCAAACTATTCTAAGATATCTGAGTCATTGAAAGAAAGGAAACTTAAAACTGACATTAAACCCAATGACAGATGAGTTTCTGTTTCAAGACAATAAGAACCATACTGTTTGTATAAATCCAACAAAAGGAACTTTAAACGAGAAGACCTATATCTGAACTTCTTTTGAAAGCAGATGTTGACAACAAACTGACAAGAGTATGTTGACGATGAGTTAGCACGTGTGGCTAGTGCGTTAGTGAAGAAGGCAGATAAGGAATATGTGAATGAAAAAGATGAAAAAATTATAGAAAGGGTTGAATGGTACCATGAACGGACAACAAAGATTTTAAGATAAAGGTAAAGCCGATACAGGGTGGGTTTCAGGATGTTTAGACCTTAAAGCGGATAAGAACCATACACATACCATTGCAAATATTACAAACTTACAAGAAACCTTAAACAGGAAAAGTGACGTTGGACATACACATACCATTGCAAATATTACAAACTTACAAGAAACCTTAAACAGGAAAAGTGACGTTGGACATACACACGATTTCTTCGCAACTGTTGGTATAGAAAATATTGAAGGAACGGTTGAAGAAACTGGTGGGATGTATTAAATTGGAAACCTCCTAACTTTCCACAAGGTTTAACATCGGATGAAGACATAACAACGATGAGATACATTAGATGTAGAGATGTTTATGTCATGGAGGATGAAAATAAAGTTAAATTCACTGCTCAAGATTTATATGACAAGAAAGCTGACAAAACAGAGCTTCAAACGTTAAAGACAGAAATACTTCAAACACTATATCCTATAGGTTCTATTTACACGTCAATGAACTCTACCAAACCAGAAGTAGTACTTGGTTTTGGAACTTGGACTCAAATATTCGAAAGTTTTTTGTATTGTGCACACACTCCAAAGAAAACAGGTGGAAGTAAAACGATATCTGTCGACAACTTGCCACCACATAGTCATTCTGGTACAACAAACTTTTCTGGCGACCATAGCCACTCATTACGAGACCATCCATTATACAACTCAGAATATGAAGCTGGCTATGACGTTTTATCTCCAGATTATAACCATTCAGCAAAAAAGACTTTTCGACAAACTGAACCAGGAGGAAACCACCAACATACTTTTACAACAACATCTACAGGACTAGGTAAAAAATACATGCCACCTTACATGACAGTTTGTGCATGGTATAGAATTGCTTAGTCGTCATGTTCCACTTCTTTAGCATATTCGTCAGGAGTTGTCTTATATTTGTTAGGAACTGTCTTTGAAAGTATACCACCTTGAACTTTGACAAGTTTGAAACGAGGTCTGACAATAGTAGTTTTATCTTCTGCTTGCAGTCTGTACATTTTGCCATGTTTGCCTAAAACTTCATAATATTCTCTTGTATACTTTCTTCTATTTTTACGAACACGAATGTGAGTACCTGTCGAGTTCCCATTGTTGTCATAGTCAATAGTATTTTCATATGGGTCGCGTTTAGGTATTTCTATTTTTACTTTGTCGCCTTTCTTAAGTTTGAAGCCTGGCATTCTTTCTTGTTTGTCTCTTTTGACTAAACTATTAAATATATAGTCTTTCTCTAAGTCGGGGTTGTTTTTCATTTCTTCGGGGGAGTGGTTTCCCAAACCTTTTTGTTTACGGCTATTGTAAATATTTAAAACTTGTCTCATCTTTGCCATGGAGAAGTGTCTATACTTGTCGTCATATGACATTTCATTTGCTTCACCACCTTGTGGTTGGTTTAAGTCTCTTAAGATTTTTATACAACTGTCAATGACACCAAGAGCAGAATGGTTTTGGTCGACAATGAAATATTGGTTTACATTTTTTGAACGCAGATAGTTTTTAATATCGTCTGATTTGAAAGAACTTTCATAGTCAGATGTCAGTTTTGTTGGATGGTATTTGTCAACGAATATTGTCAAAGCAGTTTTCACATCTAAAATATTTTTGGACCATAATGGTATGGCTTCACAGTATCTTGTGTTTTGACCGACAAATATTAGCCAGTATGGTGGTCCATCTGTTCTAACTCTCGGAATGTTTTCCAAGATATCCATAAACCAAGCATTTGGTGTTGAACTAAAGATTTTTATCATGAGTGCTTTCTTTGTTGCCTTAGAAACATAGGGGTCCTTGTTTGGATTCGTCATTTTTTACCCTATAAGAAATGGGTTTATTTGGCGCATTAGCAGGAGTTGCATCCAGATTTTTGCCCGCAGTGGGAACAATAGCCAGAGGTGTATTTGGAGTTGGAAGGAAGATTTTGAGTACATTAGGTATACTTAAAGAGAAAGCACAACCTATTATACAAACTGTACAGAAAGGTTGGGATGTAGCACGAGATGCAGCAAATCTTATTCCAAATCCTGAAACAAGAGGAAAAGTTCAAGGATGGATGGACAATGTAGGAAGACAAGCAGGAAACTATTATAACAAAGCAAATGACTACTATAACCAAGCAGGACACTATATGGACCAAGGTGAAAGATTCTTTAACAGAGGATATAACCATGCACAACAGTGGGTAAACAATAACCAACCTCAACCACCTCAAACTTGGGGAATGTAAAGTTTTTTACTGAGATGAAATGAACAATACAGCATTGAGACAAATGGGCTCAAGATGGATTTGTCGACTTCCAGCAGTTACACAACCACGTGTTTGTCAAGTCCTCCCTATACCTCAAGAAGTTTTAGACCGACTTAAAAAACCTAAACAACCAGTTGAAAACAAACCAAACTAAAATTTTTTACTGAGATGAAATGACCGAAGAAGTTGAAACGGTAGATTTGACACCACAAACAAAAAGTTCAGAACCATTGTCAAAACCTGTCAAAGAACTTACAGATGAAGAAAAAAATTCAATAATAGAAAGTGCCAGGTCTGGAAATACAAACCCTAACTATAAAGTCACTTTTCATAGAAATGGAACGGCTAGTATCTCAAAAAAGAAACAGACTCTCACAAATAAAATATTGAAGTCTGAAGGAGCTTTCGAGACAACAGATGGAAAAGTTTACTTCACTGACCAACAGTTCATTATAGAACATCTCATTGACTTAGAGTCGAAATATTCTAAACTTTACAACAAACACAAAAAGTTGAAAGGAAAACAAAAACAGATGGCATATGATATTTACGAAGATGTTGACGACACAACCATACCTGCAAGTGAAGTAAAGTCAGAGGAACCGAAAAGTGACGAAAAACCGATAGAAGAAGAAAAACCAAAAACTGAAGATAAACCAAAACCAAAGTTTAGTTTCCAAACTAAACCAAGTCAACCTTCATTAGCTGGTATGGGTTGGCGTCAAAGACTTATGGCAGCAGGCGGTTATGTAAAGTAAAGAAAAAAAATATTTTTTTATTTTTATAAAAATGCCCCCATATAGAATGGACAGAAAGTCTGCTAGAATAAAAGCAGAGTTACAAAGATATGGTTGGAGAGTTTCGAAGAAGTTTAAATATAGGAAGGGAAGACCCATAAAAGTCTATGACAAATTGTCTGGTCTGACCTACGAAATGGATTTGGAAACAGCACGTGCAAATTATCCAAACAGACTAGAGAGGTTAGAAGAAGAACGTCTTATGGACATGCCTTTCGATGTTAGTGAACCTCAAGTTGAAGGACACGACGGCTTTGCCAGATTCTACTGGAAACATGACGAACAATTGCATCCTTTGAGAAGGAAAAAAGGGAAGGGTGAAGACAAACATGCTCCCATGGAAAGAACAAGATATGCATATGAGAAGTATCGTGAAGTTAGAAGTCAAATTACATCTGGTCGAACCTTTACAGTAAACTTTGACGAAGGAAAGAACAAAGAAGGCTTCATGGGTGTACTTGCTGCAATTCAAGATGGAAATAAGAAAGGATACAATCTCAGATTGACCATAACAGATTTAGATGGTCATATTTACTATGCACATGGCAATGTCACAACAGCTGCAATGCTTCTTGACGCTTTCAAGACTACAAAGAGAGAACAAATGGTTGACTCCGACTCAGACATTTTGAATGCAATTGAAGGAATTGCAAGTGTCAAGTTCGAATGGTACCAACCTAACCCTCAAGCAGTCAGACAACATGCTGGATACTTCCCCTTCATAAATAAGTCTGACATTGACTTGACAAGGTATGGAATTTACAATTCAATTGAAACAATTGTCAATGAACCTTGTATTCTTACATGTCTCAGGAACTCTGGTCTTGTTACAGATGAGAAGATGAAGTATCTTGAGTCATGTGTGAAGACAAGATACATTCTTAGAGGTCAATTGGCAAAAATTGCACCGTTGGCAAATGTCAATATCCGAGTCAACATTCCGACTGAGAAAGGTTCTTCACACGACGACTATGTTGTTGACAAAGACTTACCATGGTTGAAGATTGTAATTGTCCACAACCACTTCATGTTGAACGAAAGTCTTATGTTCGGAAAAGGCAAGTGCAACATTGTCAGAGCTGTTAACATTCTTTTCGAGAAAGGTTTGTTGGAACCAATTCCAGATGACAAGCTGACAGAAACTTTTGTACCAAAAGACGAAACAAACTTTTCATTGTTAGCAAGACCAAAAGTTGTTCCAGACAAAGTTCTAGTACAAAAGAAGTACACAGTTCCAAAAGGAGTTGGATTGTTCGGATACCAACCTGAACCAGAAGAACTTCCAATGAGGTTGCAAGAACTTCAAGATGCTATAAACAAACTTCCATTGAGACATCCAATTGACGTCAAATTGTATTGGAGAGCATCGGAGTTAGGTCAGAAGGTTTTATATGAAACAGGTTGCTTCGACGATGTTTATGAGATAGCAGGCGAAGTTTCTCAGAAGATAAGAGACTCACTTGAATTTCCACGAACTGGACCCATTGGTTGCGACAAGTTCGACTCAAACGAAAAGATATACTATGTCGACCTTAACGCTGCGTACATGAGGTTCGTCCAATATATCCCGACTGGAATTCCAAACGAAGACGGTGAGTTCCCAGGAAGGAACTATACAGTTGGAAAAGTCATACAACAACTCTATGATATTAGGAAAGCTTCAAACCCCAAACTTGCAATGACAATCAAATTGCTTATGAATTCGACATGGGGATATTCCATTAAAAAACCTCAAAAGATGAAGAGTAAACACTATGAGAAGGTCGACAACTTTGTTGAAAGGTTCTCCCCTTTTGTTTTGAAATACGAATTTACTCAAGGTCAAGGTGGCTTAGTAACCACAGTAAAACCTATTGTCGAACATTGGTCTTATCCTCAGTTCGCAAAAGCAGTCCTTGACAACTACAACAAATTCTTCTCCGAAGTCAAATCCAAAGTGAAGGTATACTATGAGAACATTGACGCACTCATGACGAACGAAGAAGGCTATAACAAACTCATTGAAATGGGTTTAGTCAGTGAAAAGATGGGCTGTTTTAAGCTAGACAAGGTATTTTCCGAAGTTCATGTAATATCGAAAAGGAAGTATTGGGGCATACTTGAAGACGGCACAGAAATAAAACATTGCATGAAATAAAAAATTTTTATTCGAATTTGAATCGGACAGGTCGAGTTACACCATTCTTGGTCTCAAACTCATATATAACCTGTTTGTCTGTATTTTCGTCGACTATGGCACGAGACACGAACATTGACCAAACGGACAAAAAGTGTCATTTCGGATGGTCACGCAGCCAATCGCATTCGAGCACTTCGAAGAAGCCTTACGTTCCAAGGGAGAGGGTGTCTGGTGCAAGGCAGAGGTCATGAAACTCTACGAGCAGTACATCCTCAATGCCTGGGAGGACAAATCGTCCTTGGATTGGCAATTCTACCAACTCCTCTGGGACGACCTCCTACGCAACTGGGATAACGAAAGAGCCCAATTCAAAGGTAGGGAACTAATTTTGCAAATTGACCTTAATTTCACATACTTATCCAAATAAACACCTAAATTTACTTGGGGTTTCCCCCTAAAATAAAATTTTTTTACTCTTAGAACCACTCGAGGTTCTCCTTACGGTTGTTGAGCTTGTCACCGTCAATGTGTCTGACCCTCGTCTTCTTGTCTGGATTTGGAACCCATTGAATTGCGACAAGCTTGCCCATGGAAATTGAACCGCGATTCCGAAGGTTAAGGTTCAAGTGTCCCAAGTTGTTGAGGACTGGGGTAAGAACCTTGCCTGTCTCCTTGTTGCGGATTTGGTATGGGTAGGGTTGGGAAATTTCGTAAGTGTCATCGGCAACAAGGGTTGCCCATGTAGCGGCTTCAGGAACTTCTTCTTCTTCCTCTTCTTCTTCGTGTTTCTCTTCTTCCTCTTCTTCCTCGACAATTCCTTCTTCAATTCTGTGTTCACGAATTACGGTGTTGGAGGTTCTGTCCTTTCCGAGTACCTTCCAGATGGCATCTATCTCTTCGAAGAAACGGTAGATGAGTCTGGCAAGGTCTCGGTTCTCTCTCGCGTAAATGCGCAAGGTTTCCGTCAAATCATTCAGGACTTTCTCATTGGAAGCTTGGTTCATGAGGAACTCACCTTTAAGTCCCTTCATCTCTTCCATAAGACTACTTTGGAGAGTCTTAACGGTGTTTGTCAGATGAGCTTTCAAATTCAAAATTTGAATTTGAACTGGGCGCTTGTCTGGCAACATTGAAAGGACATCTGCCATTGTGTTCGGCTTCGGTGCTTGTTCGGACATCGAAAAAATGAAGTGGTTTGAGAATGACGGTTTTACTTCAAAAAGCTTGTTATGACGGTTAAGTCATACAACAAGTTTAAAATAATATCTTGTTCTTCTTCTGAACGTTTGTTGTCTCTTCCGATAAAAGTTTCGAACATGAGAACCAAAAAACGTTTTTTGAGATTGCGGAAGAGTTCAGGCAAACGTTCATATTCTGGATATGTTGGGAGCAGTTCGAAACATCTGAGCTGACTTTCGGACAAAATTGGGACAATGTCAGAAAATTCATCTTTGGTCGGACTGCTTGAAGGTAAGTCCCTTACATGTAAGTAGCTCTGGTAAAGTCTTCTCATTTCTGCTAACTTTTGGAGTATAGCTTCGTAGTTTAGAAGTTTTAATTTTAAATGTCTTATTCCACTCTTGACATCTAAACGGTAACTATCCATGAGGTCAAGAGTAGCTTTGGTAGCTTTAAGTGGAGCTATCTGTTCCTTGACTTCTGCAATTTTGGTTGCAATTGTGGTTTGAGCTCCTTCAAGTTCGCCGTCTATGTCGTTCTCAACACCTTCAACCATGGCTTGAAACTCTTCATCGGTCCATTGAGATTGGTGTGGGACGAATTTAACTTGCTTCATTCAAAAAATGAAAAAAATGTTTTTACTCTAAACGTGCCATGTATATGGCTATAAGTGCTTTGTTATATGACTTCTTCTTCACATGAGTCTTCGGCAACTTGAGAGTTTTTGTTGGTGTCGGGTCTGGAATTTCAATTCTCTCTCGAGCGCAACAACAGATGTCAGAATAACATTCCCCACTGTCCTTCTTGCCACCATAAATTGTGTATTGACCGAACTTGCATTTGCAGGAATACCGGTCAATACAAGGTTCACAGTTGAAATAGTTGTACACAAACCTGTTGAGTACGAGTGTGAGTAAAAACATAAAAAAAGTGAAGTGAAAATGAGATGTTTACTGAACTGGTTGGATGTCGCCTTCACAGGTTATGTAGAACGGCTGACCCGAGAAGTGAAGGAGACCCTTGAGAATTTGGCTCATTCTTGGGAAAGGGTTCTCTCTGTTTGGAAGTAGTATCCAAGGACGCTTTGCAAAGAACTTGAGAAGAGCTTCTTTCTTTGCTTGCTTTATGTCGTCGTAGGCTGTCCCGTCTGGTATTTGAATTGGAATTCCAGTCGAAGTCTCGAGATTCAAGGCAGCCCTTCCGTTATCCAACCGCTAACAAGCTTGCCTTTTACATTCTGCCTGAGGAAGTCTTTAACAAGCTCGTTAATTTCAATTAGGTAAATTGCCTCGTCGGTAGGTTCGACCTCGACCATTGCTACTGTCAGTAAAAGTACTGCTACTGTCAGAAAAAGTACTGCTACTGTCAGAAAAAGTACTGCTACTGTCAGTAAAAGTACTGCTACTGTCAGTAAAAGTACTGCTACTGACAGTAAAAGTACTGCTAGTTGCAGTAAAAAGGAAAATTTGAGAGGGTTTTCGACGATAAAGTACTGCTACTGTCAGTAAAAGTACTGCTACTGTCAGTAAAAGTACTGCTACTGTCAGAAAAAGTACTGCTACTGTCAGTAAAAGTACTGCTACTGTCAGAAAAAGTACTGCTACTGTCAGAAAAAGTACTGCTAGTTGCAGTAAAAGTACTGCTACTGTCAGTAGCAGAGATTTTTATCGTTGTGGTCCGACGGTTAAGCCACAAACGAATGTCCGACGTCCCACCAACCGAGCCCATTCCCAAGCCAGAGGAACCTAAAGCACCAGCCCCTGCACCTCAGTTCCAGCAAGTACCTCCACCAAATTACTACCAATTTCCACCTCAAGGTTACTACCAATTTCCACTACAAGGCTTCCCGAACTACCCTCCTCAGCCTATGCCTTACTTCCCCAACCCTTGGATGTTCCAGCAAGCTCCACCCCAGCAATTCCAATCTCAGTCCAAGAGAGACCAAGACTTCGAAGAAGGTCTGAACCGCTTACGCAAAGAGTATGCCACAGCCCCGATGGAAGATGACAGGCTTTCAGTCTCTTCCCTCAAATCGACCGATTCGACTCGTACCACAGATTCGGTTCGTGACCGTGAAGACTACCTCAAGCAGTCTGAGAGACTCTTCATCCTACAATCATTTACAGTTGGAGCTCTCAAGAACATGCGCAATTACGAAGGTCAGACACCAGCTGGAGACCGCAAAACAGACGTACTCGCAAGAGCAGTCCAACTGGTCAAGACAAAGACTGAGATAGTTGACTTCATTCTTGCAGCTTGCCCATACAAGTAAAAAAATAAACAATTACGAGTTAAACTTTTTACTCTTTCTTTTCTGAGTTGTTTAGAGCTGGTTTCTCTTGTAGAAACCTTTCGTACTCTTCCATGGTCATGTAATTGCGAATTTGGTACGCAATTCCAGGTTCGTTGTTTTTGAACCTTACGTATGTAACGCTTCCATCCTCCTCAGGGAAGTAAGCTGCTAACATCTGACCAAGTTTTCTCGGTGACTCGGAGCTCATAAAAATGTCACTTTTTAAACGTTAAGTTTTTAGTCTTATTTTACCCTTTGTTTACCCTTTGTTTGTCAATGTAGTATTGGAGTGCAATTTCTCCAAATTCTCTGTGTCGGAGTTCTTCAGCATTTTCCAAGGTGTACCTGGAGAACTCAAAGAAGTTGTCAAGAAGATACTGCCATGCTGCTCTTCTGAGTTCGTCGGTATTTTGGAAGTGTTGCACCTTCGAGTCTTCTGACATGAAAAAAATGACACTTTTTCAGCAAAAATAATGTTTATGTTAGAATGTTAGATCTAACATGTTTTCTAACACGTTTTCTAACATGGTCTAAAACTCTTGAATTTTCATGACTTCATCGTAAATGTTTTGTCACCCGTTGAATTTTGTATAAAAAGCAACCCGCTGTTTTCCGCGGGTTGGTATATTCTTCACAAAAT